AGAGGCTGGATGCCTACCTGGCTGGACTCATTTGAGTCCCGTTTCTTGTTTTGGGATTTTGTTGTTCTCCCGCCCTGGCGGGGGGTCGGGCTAGAAGATCTACTAGGTCCCTTCCGACCCTTAATCTATGAAACTATGAAACTATGGAGTCCTGAACGGTGCAGTCCCTTGTTTTGTTTTTTTTGTCCGCTCCAGGGTCACATGGATGAAGATGTCCAAGCTGCGTTGCTTCAGATCATCCGCATGAGACAGGGGCTTGTATGTTAGTGTGCTCAGTGCTGCGCCTCCGCAACGCCCAACTGCTGCATCCAGGAAGAGCACTGTGATTACAGGAGTGTTAACCTTTGCGAGCTTTATCTTATTGTGATGTTCTTAACTGTAAAAACAAAACAAAAAACCCCCTAAGAAATATTTATTCCAAGTAGGAAGCAGATGTGAGGTGGCTGGAATCCATTTACTCCTTGTAAAATAGAACAATAGGATAAATGAAGTTCAAATCAGGCGCTTCAGATAAGTGGACTCTGAACGTATCTTACAATTGGTGTATGAGCTGGCAGTCAAAATGATGACATGGCAATTCATTTTTTTTAATGTCGGATTGACCACTCTTAAAACCCACATCCCAAAACTTCAGCTTGATCCTATTGTTAACTGACAAAGTGTGAATGAAGATCTAAGGCTAAACTGAAGTGACCTTGGCTGAAATACTGTGGCTATTTGCATTTTTCTTCTGGTTAAAAAGTGTGTTTTCTTTTTCTTCTTTTGCCGGTCATATTAACTGACCAAGACTAGTTTCAAAATCTGCGGTGTGTCGACTACATAACAAGACTGATGGTGTCAAAGTCTACGTGGTAACTTGGCTGGCCAAGTTGCATTTGCTATTTAAGTAATTTTTAAGACTTGGTGCCTTTTGCTTTTTACTAGTGGTACAAATACCAGGTTCTTTCCTATCAAATACTAACTTGTATGACTTTTTTTTTTTTTTTACAAGAGCTATTTTTTCATGAATGCTTTTTAACTCCAATTACTAGGCTAAGCAACAGCAGGACTGGAGTAGATTACAATGGTAGAACAGCGTTGCAACCTTAAATGTTGCAGTGAGATTTGTATGTTTTTATAATCATTTCCTACTTCAGCGTGCATAAGATGGACGTAGACCAAGGGTGGGCAAAGCCTGGCCTGCAGGCTGGATTGGACCCGCAGCAGACTCCATTTCCCAGCATCCCCTGCCTGCATTGCTGCAGGCACTTTCCCTGGAGACCCCAGCAGCCCTGGTGTGGTGACAGCATGGGGCTGGGGTTTCCATGGAGACCGGCTCCCGCAGTGCTGGCAGGGCAGGCAGCTGGACTCTGGGGCTGGGGCTGGGATCTTGCAGCTCTGCCTCGGGTCTGGCCCATGCTATCAGCACTGCAAGATCCCACTCCCAGTGCATCTCCCTGCCCAGTGCCGGCGCTGCTGGGAAACTGGCTGCAGCGACGCAGGCAGGGGCTGCTGGAAAGACGGAGCCTGCCGCGGACCCAGTCTGGCCCGCAGGCCAGATGTTGCTCACGCCTGACATAGTTGAACTCTTTGGATAAGTTTGTCCATCAATAATTCAAGTGTCACATGGTCAGCCCTTTTCTAGCAAAGGTTTAAGATGTCTGGTTTTTATTAACCATGTAAATTATGGACTGTAATCAATTCTTGATTATTTATGGGGAAGCTGCAAATAGTAACATTCATACCATAAGAAATCTAACTGGCTTGGGATTTACATGTTAAACAAGGTGGGGCTTCATCTTTCAGTGCAATAATACCAAAGGATAAAGCATCTAAATGCAAGTTCAGCAAAAGAAAAATCCAGCAGTTGGGAACAGTTTAAAGGAAAACGTCACTGAAATGCACGGCTATTTACAAAGAAGGGTGTCATCGTTTTTCATGTCTTACCTGACCCTGTACGTTCTACCTGTTGCATGTGATGCTCCTCACTACATGAGTCCTCTTGTTAGCTTCAAATTATTCTGTCATTAGCATTTTAGCCTGTAAGTAGCAAACAGGCACCTGGCATCCTGATGTAGAACAAGACAAAATTTGGCTTTTCTGGGGGTGGGGGTTGGGAAGTAGGAAACTTGAAGGTTGTAAAGTAAGCGTGTGTGTATGAGATCTAACTGATGTAGAACAAGACAAAATTTGTCTTTGTGGGGGGAAATAGGAAATTTGAGGTGTAAAGCAAGTGTGTGTGTGCATGATCTGACTTCTGTTCACAAGGCAAGGTTAACTTTTGCAACTTTCAAGTTTTTCTATTTTCCAGCAGAGTCCTTTGTCTATGCTCTGAGTCTGGGTCTCTGGCTCTGGGGCCTGGCTTGTATCACTGAAATGAAAGCTTGGCAAAGGAGATACAGAGGCATTGAGATGCATTTGTAGAACAAGCTGCTTTGACAATCCATTTTTAAGGTTTAATAAGTACTTCGCTGTGGTGTGACATCTGATCCACGGCTGCTTTCCTTTAATTTCCAGGGGGAATCCCATAGGAAGCATCAATTCACCAAGTGTACTTTTAGTTCCTAGTTAAATTCTTTCCTAATCTCACTACTTGAAGCTCTGTCTGGAGAGAAACTGATTGTTATACTAATGCTGGTATATTTTGCTATTGTATTTGTCCTTGGGGGGGGGGGGGTTTTTTTTTTTTTTTTTTTTTGTCCTTGGGGGGGGGGGGGATTTTATGTATTTTTTTTTTTTTTAATTTCTCCCATATTACATAACAATAAAGTGGTTTTTTTTTCCTTGTAATGATGATGGTACCAACGTGAAAGAAGTGTATTACCTTGGCTGTTAGGAAGTTCATCTGTGGGTAGCAGAGAGTATTAGCCTTCCTTTTCGGCTCTGTACAATAATTGATACACAATAGCCAAGATTTCTGCTTGAGAACAGCAACTTGGGGAGTTTTCAGCGCTTGTGAAAGGCATAAGGCTACTAGTCTTGGATGAAGAAGTTTGCCCCTCTGAAATCCTATGGGCTGGCCCATCACTATCAATTTCTGAGCACTTCCAAACTGAGCGTTTAATTCAATTTGTCTGTTGGTACAGCCAAAAAAAAAGGAGAAAGCATCAGCTGTGGAGGGGCAGGGGTCAACTTCACATCCAAATGGCTGTTTTGCCTCTCAGAGGGAACCAAGCATCCTTGGGATGTTCGCTCACAAGCGCTGCCAACATTTACTGGAGTTGAACTGGTGACCCTGAAAGGGAAAGGCCGAATCTGTAGCTGCATCTGAATTTCTCTAGCATAAATATGTCCATGAAGCAGGGGAGCGCGGTAAGATTGGGAGAGGGATGGGAAGCATAAATTGAGCTTCATGAAATCCTGCATTAAACAGTCCCTGGGATGATGACTCTTCCCTTGGGGACCTCATGGAAGTTAGTGTCTTGGAGCAAGAGTTTGCAGCTGTCCTGCAAGCAGTTTGCTCAGTGTACCATAAGTACCGGCCCCCAGTAGTCAGTACCAGACCTTTGCAGGTGCTTTCCTCGATTGACTTGCCAAGAAATTCTCCGTACATTTGAGCTACAAGCACCCCATCTACTGGAGATTGCAACTGAAGCCCTTTGGAGCAGCCTTTGTATTCATTAAGCAAAATAACTCCTTTCTGCTGAATTTCCCTGGGAGGAACATTATCTTTTCTATCATCATCATTTTTTTTTTTTTTTTTTAATAAGTGATTTTTGTGACTCTTGCACTCAGTTGAAATTTGCTCGAGAACAACCTGCTCCTTAAACATGTTCCTTCTCTCCCACCTTTGAAGCGTGCACTAACGTTGGGGTCCGGCAGTGCTGGCAGCATCCTCTTGAATGCTGGTCACGCAGGAACATCAAGACCCGCGTGTGAGGGGCTGTTGTAGAGCCTGACAATTTAACCAGGTTCAAAAGGATTAGAGAGGGACCCATTGGTGGATATTGAACACAGCTGCTGCCTCCAGATGAGGACTTCCTACACCTGCAAACACCAGGGGTGGTGAAGGAAGAGGGACAAGGGACAAGTTGCTGCGTAGGTCCTGCATAAATATTTTTTCCCGTGGCACCCGTCCTGCCACAGTGAGAGATGGGGCTGAGCCAGCATGTGGCATCTCTTGCGTTCTGCGGGTGCAGTGCGGTGGGGCAGGATGGCACTTTAGGGACCGACTGGTTCAGAGAAGCTTTTGTAAACAACAGGCAGGTTCATCAGAGCTTTTACCCAGAGAGGTGGTGGAGTCTTCATCCTTGGAGGTGTTTAAGACAAAGCCTTGGCTGGGATGATGTAGTTGAGGCTGGTCCTGCCTGGAGCAGGGGGTTGGACTAGATGTGACCTCCTGAGGTCCCTTCCAGCTGAATTTTGTATGAGTCCATCAGATGCCTCTGAAGTTGACTGCTACCTACAGAAGCTTCTGCCTCTCTTGAGCCAGTCAGTCTCTAAGGTGTTGCCCTGCCTTGCCTCTGTCCTGACAGCAGACTAATGTGGCTACCTGCTCTCTGTTTTGCAGGGTTAGTTATTGCCCATGCCCCTTACCCAGTGCATGAGACGCCCCTAGAGCAGGATGGAGGACACATCCCTCTAGTCACCAACGACAGCAATCATCCCTCCTGCTTGATGCCTTCTCCTCCACTCTGTGCGCTCTGGCTCTTTCTTGCTTTTCCCTTTCCTATGAGCTCTGCCATCCCCGGCTGGAGGTGGCTGCCCCAGCCGTGTCTAGTCCGCAGGTGAGAGCACTCCCCTGAGCAGCGGCAGATGAGGGTTCGAATCCCCCCAGCCTGGGAGGCCCAGGTCTCCCATTTCCTGGGTGCAGGGTCTAGCCATAGTTTGCTGTGTGAAGCCATAGTTTACTGCCTGCCATGGGCTCCTCTTAGGGCAGCCCCTTGCATGCGAAGGTATCACGTAGGCGCTGTAGCCCGGGATTGGCTTTCAGTGCCCCACAGGTGCCTAAATCCAAGAGATACACCCTTCCCTTCAGCATTTCCTGTTGGCTTCTCCCTCCCCTTCCCAAGCTCCTGCTGTCGTCCGCATTTCCAGGTGCTTCACTCTTCCTGTCGATTGATGATAGAGCTACAGGCCTCACTCACTCTGCAGATGTGCACCTAAAACTCGGGAGACTGAGCATCATGCCAGGGCCACCTGTGGCTCTGGTTCTGGATTGCTAGCATGTCCTCTCGTTCCTGCTAGCAGGGTAGCACGGTGCTGAGGCACAGGTACTCTTCTGGAAACAGAAGCAAGGTCCTTAAAACGACTGAGATTTGAACGTAGCCAGAGGGAGGACATTTGAATGCAGTTGCAAATGGGTGCTCTGGATCGTCTCGTATCATCTCTACTGGGTTTTCCTGATGGTGTCAGCACTGAACGGCTCTTCTGCAGGATGCTGCTTTGCAAGAAATCCAGCTCTTCTCAGGAGACTTGAATTTGAACTTTGGATGTTATTTCAGTCATGTGGAAAACAGATCTCCAGGCACGAGCCTGTTCCAGTGGAGACTTCGCCGGCCTGGTGTACCTGCTTCCGGGCTCGAGTGACTTGTGAAGGTGGCAATAAAATCTGGATTGCATCTATTTATCAGTGGGGCTCTCGCTGCAGCGGTAATGCAAATGTTTAGCATAATCAAGCGTGTGGCATCACCTACATGGCAAAGGACGTTTTCATTATTTATGCCTCCGGGAACAAACATCGATGATAAATGAAAGCAGAGCTGCAAGGTCACAAAAAATGTCAGCTCTAAATGAAATGCATCTGACGGGTGACTCGCAGGAGAGATTGGGATCCGTTCCACGAAACAGCAAAGCAACATCAATAAAGTACAACTTATAATTGATTGGTGGTGCCATCTTGCCATGCTCCACGGCCAGTCTTGATGCGGGTATATAAGGGTGGGGGTTTTAGTTCGTTTTTTTGGTGGGTAGCTGGCCTGAGAACCTCTCTGATTCTGGAAAGTTGATAGAGGTTATTGCCTTCTTAATAATTTA